TTCATGCATGAAAATTAAGCGTTCATTCTTAATAAACATACATAAATAGGATATCAATCAAATAGTTAAACAAATTGAATTCACAACTTATGAAACGTAATTAAAAGTAATCAAATCATATTGCAAGCATAAACATATATTTCGAATTACCCCCTAGCTAAAGGGGGTTTAGTTCCTCATAACTTTGAAATCAAAGAAACACCTAAACATTCCAACAACTCAAAACTTTGAATTGTATGAACGTTTAAGCACTCTTTTCTTCCATTTCTCATACGTACAAAACAAAGAGAATTAAAATGAAACTTTGAAATCAAAGAAACACCTAAACATTCCAACAACTCAAAACTTGAATTGTATGAACGTTTAGGCACTCTTCTCTTCCTCGTTGTTGTAGCACAAGGTTTAAGGATAGGTTGGTTGGGGGGATGGAAGTGTTGGGGAATTATGGAAATGGATGAGGATTGGTGGAAATGGAAGATGGTTTTTGGATTCTAAGGGAGAAAGGAATGTGTTTGTGGTGTGTTGTGTTGTGAATGAGATGAGATGATTTTTGAATGAATGAATGCAAGGGTATTTATAGGAGGAGTGGAGATGTATATGGCTATTTGTTTAAGGTGTTTGTGGTTGCAATGATGAAGAATTGCATGTGGAAATAAAAGGGAAAATGTGGTGAAATGATGAAGTAGGAAGGTGGAAATGCATGTGACTTGTTTGTGGAATAAAGAATGAATGGTGGAATGATGAAGTGAATGCATGTGGAATTAAAGAGGGAGAATGTGGTGAAATGATGAAGTAGGAAGGTGGAAATGCATGTGAGATGTTGGAAATGATGAAGAAAATGCATGTGAAGGGTTTGAAAGAGGTGGGTGTGCATGTGAGTTGAAATGCATATGTTTAAATGGTTGAAATGTGTAGATAATTATGAGTATGATAAGTGATAAATGTATGGTTATGATAAGTGAATGGTGAATGATATGTTAAGTAATAAATGAATGATATGTGGTGAGTGATAAGTGTATGGAAGTGATAAGTGATAAGTGTATGTTATGATAAGTGAATGGTTTGATAAGTGATAAATGAATGATATGTGGTGATAAATGAATGATATGTGGTGAGTGATAAGTGAATGGAAGTGATAAGTGATAAATGTATGATATGATAATTGAATGATATGTTAAGTGAATGATATGATAAGTGAATGCTTTAAGTGTTTAAAAATAGGGAACAAAACCCTTCCTTGCATGGCAAGCAACGGAGATACAAGGAAACACACGACAATGTCCTAAGGTTGCAAGGAATGTTGTTTTTGTGTTCTAAAATGCGTAGGAGTTTTCAATGATGCTTAAACATGAGGTCTTTTAGGATTTAACTTTCCTACTTCAAGTCTTTAATTTCGTCCATCCTCTTGGCTCCAAGCACATGATATCCATTCCAATCTCTAATTTGCTCCAAAAGGCTCCAAAAGGCATCCTTTTGCATACCTTGCCCTTAGAACCTGAAAACACACAAAAGAAGCATAAAGGACTAAAATAACTAGAGAAACATAACGTAAATGCACGAGAACAAGCCATTTAAGTCGCATGAATATGCTCCTATCAAGGTCCAACTTAGCTCAGTTTTTCTCCAATGAATTGCAAACGAGTTACGAATTTTTAAGAAGTCTAAAGGCCTCCACTCAACTCCCCAAGGTCTTTAGTGAAGGTTTAGGGAAGCTTTGACGTGAAACAACCCGATTTCAAGAAGTTGAGTTTTTGGCCAAACCTTTTGAGCCAATTTCAAGCCTTTTCCCATCCATTTTTGAACTTCCAAAAGGTATAAACTGGTTCTACACTTCACAAGCTTCATTTCCGTATAAATTTTGTGAAAAATGGTTAAGAAATGAAGAAGATATGAAGGTTTGAAATTTTACCAAAAAACTGACGAAATTTTCCAAATTCCGGCGAGTTCATACAGCGGTGAATGGCGAGGACCATCGGAGAAGACAACGGAATATTCTGTCAAAGTTGACGGAATATTCTCACTGTGTCAGGTAACGCCGTTAAACTCTGTTAGTTATTTAACGGAATATTCCTGACGGACATCAGGACCTTCCCTGCGCGTGGTGGTGCGTATGGCCATGCCTTAGCCAGCGCGTGGCGGCACGTCCGGCCTCCGATTGACCTTCTATCAATTTATGTAGGTTTGTGACATTGAATAGATCGATTTCGTATATTCAAAGCCTATGTTTGAGCAATCTGCGGAGGTTTTATTTAAGTTTCTGTTTTATATGTTATTAAACTAAGTTAATTAGTAATTTCATATATAGGGAAACGTATCCCAAGGGTGTATGAGGTCAAGAAAGGCTCAAAGACTTCGTTTCGACTGCGTATCTGTGAGTAGGTCATTTCTTTTTATAGTATATGCATGCTTGCTAGTTTCTAGTTATACTTTGAAAAAGAATTTACTATGTACGCCTACCTTAGATTAAAGTTACATGAAGTAGCGAAATGACGGAATTTAGGAGATTATTTATGAACCCTATAGGTTCACAAATATGCACGATATACCATGATATTATATTTACAGCTGTGATTATTACTATGTTGATTAGAGTTATCGAATCTTTGTGGCACGATTATATTTATGTTACCTGCTCATCATTGATGCACCTCTGGTATTAGAACTCGCCCCAGGGCCAAGGCCAGGGCCAGTCCTTCACGTGTATGTTCACATCCGCACCGTTTGCTCACCTTGGATCCAAGTTCGGTGCCAGTCCTATCGTACATATTGCATTAGGCAATTCCGACTCATATGTGACCGTACTTCAGCACTAGCCTTCACATGATCGTAGTACTAGAGTGTATTGATTACACCCAGTCCTGCTCATATCAAAAATTATTTGTACGAACTCGTATGTCAGCATATGTTGATGAGCATTTGTTATGATATGTTTACATACTATGAGGTTATGTGATATTGGTCACCTTGTGCTTATTTACGATGGTTGTGCATTATTGATTTCTTGAGACCTTGTAGGCTACGGTAAGTATTTTCTTATTATACGTAGTACGTATATTTTTGGAAACTATACTTGATTTTACAGTGAGGGGTCATAATGTTTTTGAAAAGGTTTTTACAAAATGTTATTTTTTTGACCCACTCAACTTTGTTTTTCGCCCTTCCAAGTTTGGTAGTTCTGCTTATGTGTAAATGAGGATTCTAGCAAATCTTAGGAAATGGTTATCTTCAGTGGTATAACCCTCATCCTATTTACTATATTGTCTTATGCTTTGACATCATGTGTGAAATGAGTTCAATCTTGCTCATCCGCGCACTCTTTTGATTACGCACTTTTAGGTTTAAATTTATTCACATCATTTTTCCGCTACACTACACTTTATGGTTTTATCACCCTCCATGTGTCGGTCAACACAACTCGATTCGGAGTCCAAGTATACATTCTGGGTCGGGATATCTCACATTCGTGTATCATTGTATAAAAATGGAGTGATCGAGTTTCTAAAGTTTCTTAGCGTTTCATTTTCAAAGTAATTTGTCACTTAGTCTTTGGTTCTAGTGGTATTTAGTGGCTTTATGTCGTTGTATCAAAGTAATTCAAGTTGTATTATTCAGAGTTTGAAAACCAACCTCGACGTCTCATTTTTTTTTTTTTTTGGCCCTTTGTGACTGAAACTTATGGATATAAAAATGATTTCTTTTCTCTGGTCAGATATCTATGGTTCAGCGTATTGAGTAAGGGGGCAGATTCTCTGCCCATCCAAACTCCAACTCCACTCCCCCCAAGGGAAAAAGATACATAATCCAAAGAATTACTTCAACACTGGAAAGCCAAAAAGGGAGGGAAAAAAAGCAACCAGCAATTGCGTCCTATATATTTTGTTATCCAACGATATTGAGATAAAGGTTTGAGTTTAGCAACATAATAAGTTAATAATAGGTTGATATCGAATTCGTCATTCATAAGAGTTCAACATAAAATTTTACATTTAAAAGTGAAGAAATTAAATAACAATTTTGCCAAGTATAAACAGAGAAAATTTCAACTTTTAGTTGCCGTTATAAAAAGTAATAATCCAAAAAAGAATATGCTTGATTTCAAGGGATTAGCATCCTTAAAACCTCAATTACATGACTAAATACATTCGATCAGTGCGAGTTGATTAAGAAATTAAAAGAAATGGGTAAGAAACTGCCATTTTTGTTGTAAATACAAATTAAAAGTCTGCTCCGAGCAGTCTGATACTAATCACGCCAAACTAAACGCAAATAATATTCTCTCTGCAAAACCAAAGATTTCCTGATTTTTCCTTTTTTCTCACAATCCACCCTTTTGAAGACAACCCACATCTGGAAAACATACTTTCTTTTTTGGTGGGTAATTAATGAAAATTCAGATTCATTTCCCCAATATTATGGTCATTACGATCTCGAGCTTGGGAAATATGATTAAATTAGTTGGCTAGAACAACTATGTGTCGCCCTCATACCCTCTTTAACGTAATTAGGTTAGTTGGCCAGAGGAATAGTGTGTCGTTTCTATACACTCATGTTTCAATTCTAATTTCAGTAGAATAGATTAGTACATAATAACGCTTTTGAAAAAAGAAATATAAAAAAAAAAAAAAATCCAAATCTTTACTGGGTATGCAGATCAGCAATGCAAGTAAAGCTTGCAACAGTATCAGACAGACTGAGACAAAGTAGTAGAGAGGGCAGGCAGATAAGTGAGTGAGAATTAGCTTCCTCTTCCTCCTCATGAACTGTGAAATGTCAATAGTGAAAGATGTTGAGTTGCTTTTAGGGTTGCTCAACCTCTTCTGAGAATGACTTTTTCCCAATTAAAAATTAAATTAAAAAAAAAAAAAAGAAAAAAAAAAAAAAAGAGTTAGAGCAGTTAGCTTGAACTGCTTGGAAACAAATACACATGACCAGAATGAATGCTATTTAATTCTACAGCTACATAACTCTATAATTATAAAAATAAAAAATAAAAATAAAAATAAAAATAAATAAAAAACCAGAAAAACATGTGAATATTTGAACTGGGAAGTTCATAAATTGTTAGAATTATGAAAGAACAATTTCTATGAATTATAACAAACAACCAATTGGCATAACAAGTTTGGAACGACAACATAACCAGTTTCAACTTCATCTTCTAACGTGGTTCACAAACTCTGAATCAGAAACTGCAGAGAGCTCGATTTGGCTGATGTCATCATCGTCAAAAGGAGCAGGAAGATTAAGATCTATCAAACTATCACTAAGCTTACTTAAACTCTTCAATGGAGGACTACTATTGCTTGCTTCTGCTGCAGAACCACTCATCACATGAGATCTTTTGTGCCCGCCAAGCGCTTGACCAGAGGAAAAAACTCTAAAACAAACTGGGCATTCATGAATTTTTCGTTCAGCCCCCGAGGAAGAATTTCCTGCCACATTATAATTTTCTTGCTCCAATTCGGGCTTGTAAATGGGGTTCGCATTCAAAGCCTTAATCTTCTTGTGGCTTGCTCTGTGACCACCAAGAGCCTGATAAGATTTAAAAACTTTGTTGCACGTTTCACATTTGTTTTTCCCTCGAGCAGTTCTGGTTCTGGGTAAGTTGATCAGATGCTCCTCAGAATCATCCGTGTCCTCCGTTGATCTTTCCGCTTCATCGTCTTTTTCTTGTTCTTGTTCATGGTGGTGGTGGCGGTCTTGTTTTTTCCATTTGTCTCTCGACAACATCATGAGGCAGAAGGCGACATCTTCGTCTTTGGTAGCATCAGAAATTGAACTTACAGGTTCAGGATCGAAAGAATCGGCCTTGCTGCTGACCACCTTGTTCTTGACCTTAATTTTCTTGAAAGATTCGAGTTTTTGATGATGGTGATACTGAATATGATTTTGATGATGATCAAGCGCCATCATGGAGGATTTTCGTGTTCTTTTACATCGTCTCCGAGTTGGGTTCTTGGACGACTCGGTCTCACTATCTCTGTCTTGAAGAACCATAGAGCCAGCATGGATGACAAAAGAAAACTCAGGATCCACTAGCTTTATGCTTCTCTTTGGATTCTCTCTCAAACCATAAATCATATCATCATCATGTTCTTCTTCATCGTCTGATGACGATGGAGAAGAAGCTGAAGCTAAATCGCACAGCTCATCAATGGTCAGCTGGGTTTGTTCTCGATTCGCTTCTTCGTCTTCATCTTCCGGTTTCGGGGGAATTGGATGGTTCATGACGTAAGACCTCATGTGACCCCCCAAGGCTCTGCCATTGGGGAAGCTCCTCATGTAAATCTTACACCGCTCCTCCATTGCAATTTACCCAAAAACCCTAAAATTTAATCAATCAAACCACAGACCAAAAAACTGAGCAAAACAAAGCAATTGTGAGCTCTCCTTTTTTTCCTGGAGACAAGGTAGTGGAAGGAAGCCACCAGAAGAGAAATATATACAAACCGACAATTTATTTTTACTTTTAATAAATAATTTATAGGAAAAAAAGGTGTTTTTGGGTTTTGAATTTTTTTGGTCAATTAAAAGGGGCAAAATTTTAGGATTATAATTAATTAAAAGCGTAACCATGAAGGTAGAAACTTGAAAGAGGGCACATGTAACATGCGAAGCTTGCCCGTTTCTGTTTTTATTCCTCTTTCCCCCACGGATTTGGTAGCCATCCGGATTCTCTTTGCGAGGATCTTAGGATTCCTATATTCTATCTGTTTATCGTACATTATGTGGTTAGAAGTCATTTTGAATTTTTTAATTTAAACCTAAAAACCAATGTATTTAACGATTTCTGATCAGACGATGTACGATTAACAAATAAAATGTGAAAATCCTCACGAAGATCCCCATCCATCCCCCACACCGTCTCCTTTATTTTCACCACTTTCCTTTGGTTTCCCAAATGCCCTTCTTTATCCGCCATTTGCCAAGGAAATTGGATTTTCCTCTTTTGCTTGAGAAGGGTAGTTGTGGCATTTTGGACACTAGTACCAGAATAAACCGGTGGCTTCCTTGTCCAAGTCAAGGAAACTGCTGGGGTTTGTTGTAACGATGATGCTGAATTAAAAACAATGGTGTCCTCCGAACATAAAAAGCAACCACTTGTTTACCACACTTGTTTAACTCACCGAGCGGTGACCGAGCAACAATAACAAACACAAAACGTCCCACGTGTCATCGTCGGATTTCTAATGTTTTTCGAGGGAGTAAACATTGAAAATAATAGACACACCACTTCTCTTCTTTTGAACACTTAAATTTTTTGTCGTTGCTTTCGATAAATCAATCGAAAGAAACGTACACAATTAAACATAAGTGCGTTGAGGAAAAGAGAAATATGGGATCATTAATCCTTTAAACATCTAAGTACAGTAATTAAAAAGGAGAAAACTGAATCAGATTTTAATTTATTTTAAGATTCTATAACCTTTTGTCACTTAGTACTACGATCTAGTAGTATTTTCTTTACTTGTAAGTGAGAGGTTTTATGTTTGATTCTCACCAATGACGAATTTAAACCACATTGTTGCTAGTTCATTATGAGGCTAAGCCTAACTCCTCTCTCTTAATGTAGATAATATCGTTTATTGAAAACAAAAAACAAAAAAGATTATGTAACCTTTTATTTAAGCCGGTGATTTATATCTTTATACTTATTTTCATCTCAAAATAAATAGAAAAATGGAAAAACAAATAAAAGAGCCTGAATTGAAGCAAAAGTAATTTGTTGGGCCTTTGTTAGAGTTAATTGGTATTAGATTGATTTTCCTGTAAATTTGGATCTTTGGTTGAAATGTCTGATGGAGAACGAAGGGTGGGAAAATGAGTAGGAAACTAACCTCCTTTTGAGAAAGGAGTTTTTGTATGGGGGGGTTAAGTGAGTAAATACCGTTTTGTTAGGGCGATTTGTAGACCGAGTTCTCTTTTAATGTGCTCCCCGCATTTTGGTTCTTACAAAGCCTTTCCCTCGAGTGGATATTTTACTGCACATAATCAGTGTTTAAAATTTCGATATATATGAAAATAATGATATGCAAATTTATAGAAGTATCAATAGATATATTAATATTAATTGATGTCGACGGAAATTAGAAGTTCCAAATATGTATTCAATTTTGGAAAATTTTTTGCAACGAATCGGGTAAATATCGTCAATATGCACGTATTTGCCTATATCTCAACGATACAAGATAAGTTTGCATTTCACCTCCTTTCCATATGTATCGTTGACATTTCAGATATTTCATAATTTCGTTAACATTTTACACACTGCACACAAGTGGGTAAGGAAATGCCCATAAAATTGGTAGCAATTTTCTTGTGTGCTTAAAAATTTGCATAGAAGATAATCAATTGGTATTGGCTTTATGACAATTGCGAAAAACGATAATTTCAGAATTTATGGGCGCTGAGATTTATATGCTTAAAAATGAAGTATTTCAAAATAAAGAAGGAAAAAACACGTTGAATTTAGTTTAGAATTTCTTTTAGGAAAATTTTATTTGGGCCCATATAACATCTTTTTACACTCAACTTAAACTTTAAATGTGAATTTTTTTTGTCCCTATTGCAGAATTACCATCAAGTACAAATATAATTATAAATAAAACAATATTTATTAGTAAACCCACTCTCAAAAACTAAACTCTACCATCATACAATTTTTTATCTTACCTTCATTCTGGCAAAAACCTTAAGAGCTCTCATCACTAGTACAAAAACATGTTTGTACAACGGCAACTTGTGCGACGCAAAAAATTTCGTCACGCAAATTATGTTTGCGAGACGCTAAACAGAAAATGTCGTGCAAACGGCCTTTGCACAATGACACTTTCCATGGCAAAGTTTAGCGTCGCACAAAGTTGTTTTGCGAGACGAAGATGCACCTACGTCGTGCAAAACAGCTTTGCGCAACACTAGTCATCTTTGCACAAAGTATCGTTGCACAATGGCTGTTTGCACGACGCAGAAAACGTCGCACAAAGTGTTTTTTTTTTTTTTTTTTCCTTTTGCTTTTCTTTTGGGGTTTTTGCATTGCCTTTTTCTTTTGTGGTATCCACTTGTGTAAATGTTTTAAATTGACGATCAAATTAGTTCATTGTATTCATATAGGATCAATGAGTATAGCCGTAAAAAATCATCAAAATCGAAGTTAAAATTACTGTTAAATCATGATTTTTGGTTTATAACCGTCGCAAAGGTTTGTGCCGTTACATAGTCTCTGAATGTTTGTTTTTTGCGATTTTTGGTGTATGCGATCTCGAAGTGTATACAAACAAGTTTGATGGTTAGATCGTTGAAACTAGTTTCGTAGAATGCGTATCGCATCAAAACAATAGATTCACTAACACTTGGAGTTAATCTATACTTTAATCAAGTATAACATAAGATTTTGTGGTATCCAATAGTGTAAATATTTTAAATTGATGGTCAAATTAGTTCATTGTATTAATATAGGATCACAAAGTGTAAAAAAATCATCAAAATTGGAGTTAAAACTACCGTTAAATGGTGATTTTTCAGTTATAACCGTCGAAAAGGTTTGTCCCGTTACTTGCTATTTGAATGTTTGTTTTTTGCGACTTTTGGTGTATGCGATCTTGAAGCATATACAAACAAGTTTGACAATTAGATCATTGAAACTAGTTTCACAGAATGCGTATCCCATCAAAACGATAGATTCACTAACAATTCAAGTTTATTTATACTTTCATTAAGTATAACATAAAGATTTTGTGGTATCCACTAGTGTAAATATTTTAAATTGAAGATCGAATTCATTCATTGTATTCATATATGGTCAAGGAATGTAGCTGTAAAAAATCATCAAAATCAGAGTTAAAATAACCGTTAAATCATGATTTTTCGTTTATAACCTTCATAAACGTGTGTCCCGTTACATTGATGTGAAAATTATCTTGACACACAAATTAAACCCTATTTGTGACAATTGTAGTATATATGCAAGTAGGGATTGTTCTAGACCGGGGATCAACTAGGGATGCTAATCAACACAAATAAGACTAAAAAAACACTAAACTAGATTCTATAGACTCAAAACTAACTTAAAACACTCAAAACAACAACAAACAATCAAAAAGACTCAATTCTAGACTTAGCAAGTGGTTTTGACAAAATAAAACTTAACTTGACTCAAAAGACTAAAAGAAAACAAATTTTCACTCAAATAACAACACTAAATGAAAGGGGGATTGTTTTTGACAAAATTAAAACTTAAAACAGAAACTTTGCATAAAACACTTTGTAAAAACAAATTTGGGTGATTTGAATGGGTGAAAGGCTAGTTAGAGGGTCCTTCTCCACACATGACATATGCATATAAACCAATTTTCAGTTATTATTCCGTTAGACTATAAATGACAACGCCCCAAGTTAATTGCATCGCACAATCAACCATCAGATTTTCCTTATTTCATTGAATTAGAAGAAATATGCATCGCAATCAAATTATCTTTCTCAAGTTCCCTATATGAAACGCATAATAGAGATACATATCAAAAGTCATTAAGTTCTATGAAAATCATAAGCATTGACAAGGCATTCATCACTATGAAACGCATGAGACTCATACCAAGGATTTACTTGACACGATTGTGACTAGTAACCTCGACTACTTGTGAATATAAGTGAATAACTATTACGTGAAACTCCCTTATACTCTAACATCAAATTCATGCATGCAAATTAAGTGTCGACCCTCAACCAACATACATAAACAAGTTTTGATAACTTAGATAAGCAAATCACATTCAATACTCAAGAAATAATAACTGGATATAATCAATTCATATAAAACATATAATCATTACTTCGAATTCACCTCCAACTAAAAAGAAATTAGTTCCACATGTTCATCATAATTGAAAACCAAATTAATATAAACATTGAACTAAAACTAAGGATAGAATACACCTAGAAATACTCCACACTCTAATGGCAGATTTCGAACCCTCCTTGGATGGCAGATTGCACAAGTCTTATTCTCCTTCCTTCCTTGCTTGCGGCACTAGGGTGATGTGGTGTGAATTATGGTGTTGGATGGCTGAATGTATGAATGAATGAATGAGTGAATGGATCATTAAAACTTGCAGCAAAGGCTTGTATTTATAGGCTAGGTCTTGAACAATTTCTGAAGGAAAAGGATTGCACAATCCAATGGGAAAAAGGACTAGGCTTTTGGACCTTCTAGAAATCAAAAAACCAAAAAGAATATGGAGAGGGTGCGGCATACATATAGGAGCAGATAAGGGCTTCTAGAAAGCGTATTTAGGGCAGATTTCTAGAAGAACTTAGGCTAAGGGGTGCAACACCTTTATAGGAGAGGGATTACAACCCCCAATCCACCAAGGAATGGCATATATGTGGCACGCA